AAGTAATCTTTTATTAAATTGTAATTTGCTAGGAAAGGGATTGTTAGTGTAAAATCAATTAATATTTTTAAAGTTTCTCTGTTATTTTGAATATCAACTGATATAACCCATATCCATAGATATGACCCATAAAAACAAAAGCTTTTTGGGGGTCCTGGATAATTTTTAAGGATGTAAAGATGGTTCTGAGCTCCCTTATCCTATGTAATAAAAGAGAAACATGTAAATCGACTGTACCTCCACTACACTCACCAGCCAATCAGGAGTGAGTATGAAAATTAACCCAAGAAAGATGGTGGGTTAATTGGCATACACAGGCGCCAGGCAGAGAGCAGAGCGGGAGAGCTGGGGGAGATTGGAGCGGCTTGGGGAACTTGGCTCCCCAAGCCGCCGCCGGAGAGCAGAGAGGCAGAGCTGGAGGCCATGGGATGGAGACAGAGCTGGAAGGGCAAACCAAGAGTGCAGGGAGCACCAGGAATGCTGGGAATCATAGTTCTTGTGGCAGATGGATCTCCTAGACACTAGAGCAAAGTGAGCCTGGAGCAAGTTACTGTTGCGGTGGGGGATGGAGGGAAAGCAAAGATGAGAGACATAAGTAAAATTAGAATGTCTAGGAAAAATTAAAGGGAAGATTAAAGGGAGGTTCCTAAAACCTCTAGGAAATCTCCACCAATGAAGCAAAGAAAAAAGAAAAAAAAAAGCTCTATTCTGTGAGCAACAAACCAAACTGAGTTGGAGTCTCAGACAATTTGCTCATATGATTGCAAAGACAGACAGAAACTCCTAGATTGGGGAGCGATCCCAGATTGGAGAGGGTGCAGGTTGGGCTGAGGGACCCACCCCCCGTGCACACATCTTAGGCACTGGGCCCCTAGTCTCATTATAAAATGAAGAGTGTGCTTGGAGCCTTTAAAGAACACAACTACAAGGTGTATGGTTAAGAAAAATCAAATGGGAAAAAGGTAGGGTTTCATAGTCCAGGACTCATTAAAAGTAATGACAATTATTTTAAAGAGTCACAAATGAAATCCATTTGCCCACCAGGACCTTCAAATCCCTCCAGAATGCCTGGAAAGCTAAACATCTGAATTGGTTTCATAATTCCCCCAAACCTCTCATAAGCTGCACAGAGTAAAGATGCTACCGATACTGCCAGTATTAAAGAAGGAAGACACAGAATTAAGGTCATGAGTTAAAAGCCAGAACCCCCCCCCCCCCCCCAGTCTTTATATCTGATTGCTTAGCTGGATATAATAGCAAGATCTTAGTTAATAAATGTCACTAGAAATATTGAGCTCACTACTGCTTCTAAAAATTGAGACCATTCTGAGGGTTATTTGGGTGGCAAATTTCACATCAGGAGCTCACTTTCATAGTTCTCTCCCTCACATCCACACCAATGCGATAAGTAAAAGTGAGTCAATACATTCACAAGACAGCTCATTTACAATTTCCTTTTCTGTTAAAAAAAAAAAAAAAAAAAAAGTGGAATCAAATTCAGGCATGTAGGAAAATCCTCAATTAGAAATCAATTTAGCAGAACAGTCTCGCAGGCTTTCATTAAACACTGCTTTTAAGGAATAAAACAGGTATATGAATTTGGGGTTTTGCTGTATAGATTAAATGACAGGCACATGATGTTTTTAGTTCAGTGACTGACATAAAGTTTTTGATATGGAAGTGCATTTAGATTAAAAAATGGGAGGCAGCCTTGGCCAGTTTGGCTCAGTGGATAGATCATTGGCCTGGGACTAAAGGGTCTCGGGTTTGATGCTGGTCAAGGGCACATGCCTGGGTTGTGGGCCCAATCCACAGTAGGGGTTGTGCAGGAGGTAGCCATTGATTCTCTCATCGTTTCAATCTCTCCCCCCGTCTCTGAAATGAATAAAATATATTTTTAAAAATAAAAATACTGCTGAAACCAGTTTGGCTCAGTGGTAGAGTGTCGGTCTGCGGACTGAAAGGACCCAGGTTCGATTCCGGTCAAGGGCATGTACATTGGTTGCAGGCACATCCCTGGTGGGGGGTGTGCAAGAGGCAGCTGGTCAATGTTTCTCTCATCGACATTTCTAGCTCTCGATTCCTCTCCCTTCTTCTCTGTAAAAAATCAATAAAATATATTGAAAAAAATAAAATAAAAATACTAATAAATAAAAATAGGAGGCAGAGACACATTTAAAGCATATGTGTCAGTGCCGGTAGATTTCACTCATCATTTAAATTAATTATACAACACTTCCAGATTCATAGAAGAAATTGTGTATTAGTGCCCAAAGAAGTCAGATAAGTTAATCAGGTGTCACCCAGACAGTGAGTGGTTGAAAGGGGATTAGACTATCTGTTTCCAAGTCCCAGCTCTTTCCACAGTAGAGTGCAGTCTCCCAGGAGAGCTGAAACACAGAGCTAGTTACTTCAGAACCTATTTACCATAAGGACAGTTTCATAAATATTTGAGAAAGTTAACCCTTCTCTCCAAATATAAGTATAGGTCTCAACTTATTAGTAACTACCCCCAAATCAATAGTATTATGGGTATCCTTCAGGAAGTTTATGTTAAACAATAAAGGAAACTTAAAATACTTGAAGACTGCATCAGAGAAAAATAAATCTGGAGTGACAGTGGGAACTTCTTATATGTAAATCGCTAGAACTGTAACAATTTCACCCTCCACCCTTCAAAATATTAGGAAGAATGAAAAATATATACAACAGAGAAGCTGCTGAAAAGCAAAAGGGGTATAGGATGAGCAGAGAGACCAATAGATTAAAGAAAAATTTTCTTGCCAAACCCAAATGATTTGGGATTAGAACTTTTCTCTAAAGTATCACTTAGTAACCCCTTCAGAGATGAATCATTAAATTAGATGGACCTTCAGAGAGGCAAGTCTTATGTTTTCTCTTTTATGGGCTCTTAAACAAAACATACTGGTAAAATATCAAATTATATGTTGAGGTGCAATAACTTGAGATGAGAGCTTCTGTCCACAGACACAACATAGGAAGAAGGCATAGTACAGAAAATGCTTTATAAATAAATCTTAATTTTATTAGGAAAAGAATTTTAAACACGAAAGTTTAGAAACAAAGTATTTATTTCCACCAAGAACCATATAAAGGTGATGCTATAACTCTCAATTTTATAGAAAATTCATTTAAGATTATGAGTTTTAAATATCAGTGAAGATATTCTCCATACTGCCACCAGAGCCGGGCTTGAATACTCTGAAGTAACAACACTTGAAAGCTCCTATTCTTTGAAACTAATTTAAACACACTAAATTGTTGAAAGATTAAAAACCACAGTCACCTAATTACACTCTCTCTCATCTCTTATTCAGCAAATGAATCACTTTTCATTACCACTTAGCAGAAGTACATGAATTTCTGCTTAATTAGAAATGTTGTAGATGGAACATTAGCAAGAATGGAGCGGGTCAGGGTATCTTTGCTGCTTCATTTTAAATTCCTAACAGTAGAGTCTGATAAGAAAAATAGAGAAGTCATTAAATAATTTTAAATTATTTATAAAAATTACTTTGCCCAAATTATAATTATTTCCCCCAGTCTCAAATGTCTAACAGAATGAAAGAAAAAGCAGTTCGACATTGATTTTAATGAACATTTTAATGTTATGTATAACAGAACATTATGAATACAATGGAAACAAAGTTTTATCAAAAAAAATTCAACACAAAGTGGGAAGTAATAATTTGATACCTATATTATAGTATTTATTTTTAAAAATATTCCCAAGTTTGAGGGTGAAACAATTTTGCATTCCAAACTCCGGAATCATGATTTCTCATGTGAGCTTAATGCAGAATTACAGCAGGAAAAAAAATTTTTTTAAATTAATTTCCTTTATTTGCCTTTAAATCAATAAAATCTTTGACTGCTACAGGTCTCCTTTAATTATATATATTTAACCTCTCTCTATTGGAACCATATTGCTAATGCCTTATTATACACACTCGAAACCAAAACAAAACAAATACTGTATAAAACCTAAAAGTCAACATTGCTGAGTTCTAACATTTATACTTTAAGGTCTTAGTGGATTTTTATCTTTTCAATTTTTTGAAAAGAGATCAAAAAATAAAAATAAATATTTTTTCTTTTTTGACTGTTGCTAACTGTTAAGTGGTGGCTACAGGGACAAACACGGAAGGAAGCCTTGCCAACTTAACCACTGCAAATTGTAAATAATGACTGCTAAAACAAGAATACTGGAGGGGTTTTTTTTGTTTGTTTTTTTCCTTTTCTTTTAAAGGAAACAATAGAGCAGTCCTGAAAAAAATATTTTTCCTCGTTTTGCACAGGATAATTATAGCAGAAGATATGGGAAAATTCCCATAGCTATCACCAATTACTTAAAGAGATTTTGTTACAATAAAAATTTGGATAGTATACTAGCAGTGTTGCTGGAACATTAGCAAAAGTATATACATTCCAGTTACCTTTGATTTAGCCATAATCACATATGTATGCCTTTTTTGGATAAAAATATATTTTTTTTATAAAAAACTGATCATCCAACTTTAATGATTTAATATATGGGCTCAAGAGTGGTAGTAAAAGGAACAGATCCAATTATGATAAGGTGATTCAGGGACAGAAAAACCAAGTTCCTCAGGAAAAGAAAAGTATAAAATTAGAGATTCAAACATATAATATTTATTCAACCCTATTGCAGTCCTCCCGCAAATTATGATGTTAAAATGGACTCTTCAATTTATAAAGGCTTTTTTTTTTTTTTAATGGTCTCACTACCCCATTGGTCCATTCTCACTGGGGAAATGGTTTGACTGCCTCATCTGAACTGCCCTTGCCTGGCAATTTGAAATACTAGATATTTCACTATTATAAAACATTTTTTTTTGTTCTTTACATAGGTTTACTTTAATTAACTGATAAGGGGGAATTGATTAGCATTTTCCATCCCAACATCACCTATCTGCACCACTAAAAATCCTTCATTCAATCTGCTCTTTTACAATCTCTTATTTGCTAAAGTTGGCGAAATTTGCAAAGGCATCTTGCTTGGGTTGCACAGTTCCAGAAGTCATAGCTAAGTTGGGCATGCCCATTCCCACTGTGCCCGTCAGGCCCATCCCAGCAGTTGACATCCCTATGTTCATGTTCATGCCCATCATGCTCGGGCTCATCATCGGAGTATTTCCAAGAGGGGCCATTCCCATGGTGCCAGTCATCACATTGGGCATGCTCATAGGCATGGGTCCCCCCATCAAAGGGCTACTTTGGGGCCGGACAGGAAGCATGTTTGATGGAGAATTGAGGTTCACAGCTCCAAAACTTTGGGTCATCACATTCATAGGTTGCTGCATATCTACCAGAAGAAAAAAGACAAAAGAACTTTACCACACTGAATTCTCAGATTCATAGAGCAGAAAAATAATGAAATCTTCCTGACCATCATTATCTGTAAGCCCCAATAAAATTCTTTTAGTGATTTTGCAAGAGAAGTCAATTAACTTGCATTGTTTATTCTTAAGAAATATTCAGTGGCTGTTAGCTTTGGTATCCCAAAGATATGGAAACAGTAAGAGTGGCCTGGGGGAAAGAGAAGGCACTTTAAAAGCATTTCCACAAAATCTATTGTGGAATCCAACCAAACAAGTTGTCAGTGTGTATCAAAAGCCTTAAAAAAGTTTAAATCCTGACTCACTTTATTTTTAGAATATTAAGGGGAAAAAACCACAAGCACAAATAATTATATAAACAAAATTATGGAGTTCTTTAAAAAGCAAAAAGCTGGAAACAATAGAAATAACCAACAATAGAGGAACTATACACTGATATGATGGATAACTATAAAGATCTAAAAAATTTTTTCCTTAATATTCAATATAGAAAAAATGTTATGTTGAATGAGAACTGCAAGAAACAAAATATAGACAGAATGATCTCAAGTACTAAAAATACAGGGGTGATCAAAAGTAGGTTTATAGTGATGAGTACGCAAAACAATTTATTCTTGTATCATTATAATCACAACCTTCGTGTTTTTTCCATACATACTGTAAACCTACTTTTGCCCACCTCTGCATAGTCAGAAAAGATGGAAAAAAAGTATGAATTACCAGTGATTATCCATGGATTATGGAGTGCAGATGATTTCTCTATCCTTGTCATATTTGCTTATACTGAAAAAATTTTCTACCACAACTATTTTTATTTGAGTGATAAGGCCCCCAACACTCACCACAATACAGTAAGTTTTATCATGTCAAGAGTAAAATACAAAGTAATTCAATGTGTCAGGAGGGATAACAAGTATTTGAAAATAATCTCAAGTGCACACACAGTTTGTGTTATGTACTTTTAAGCATGGCTTGAAGCAATCCTGTCATCAGGGCAAAAGATTACATGTACACAAAGAAATGGGAAGTCTTGGAGCAACTTACTCTGTTGTTGAATCATTGTATTGAGCGATGGCTGCTGGGGTTTGGAAGGTTGCATACCAGGTAGCAAGTTGTCTAGGCTGATGTTTACACTGGGGTCAGACCAAGTAGAGGGCAGGGTTTTGCTGACTGACTTCTGGACCATATCTGTATTCTGATTATAGAGAGGATTAGGCTTCTGCAGCACTGTGCTAACATTTTGCAAAGGCTGGAAAATAGAAAAATGCTCTAAAAATTAAGCATCCACTCTATAAAGATTAACAAATGGCAGTTTGATCACAGTAACTCCAAATATATACAAAACTTTGTAATAAACTCTTGAAACTAAAAAAACCCCCACAAATGTTCTATACTAAGTCTACAATACCCTGAATCACTAACTTCCCCAAAAGTTAGAAGTCCAAATCATATTTGAGGTGGAAAAACAAACAACATATTTATACTAATAATTATCTTCCCATTACCCTAAGTCTAAAAGCCACTATCCTAGGTAAGTATAGCTTTAAGGAAATATACTAATACAAGAAGAATATTTATGCTTACAAAATGAAATTCAAGGTATGATTTCTTATGTTATAAAAAGCAAAATAATCAAAACACCAAATTATATTTCATATATCCTGACTGATATTTCCCTGCTCCATATCCATGTCCATTGACTAAAGTGAACAACACTAGTGGAGCTTGATATTTGTGGACCAATTCAGGATAAAGAAGTTCAGGAGAGAGAAGCAAAGGTGCCTGGTAGTTACTAAGGATAACTGAAAAGAACAGAAAAAGGGAAAGGAATAGCAAGAGAAAGCATAATTTAAAATGTATCAATGGAAAGAATCACAACACAGCTGCCCTAAAGTTGCAAATAAGATTGGCTTTATGCTTATAGCATGAAAAAGAAATGCAAAAATAAAGCGGCTTGGGCTTGTTCAGTGGTGCATAGTTCGATTTAATGGTATTAGTGTGGCTTTCATGTCCATATTCTTAATGTTAGATCTAATTTCTGTTATAAAGAATAGTCACTTTCTGCTATTTTCTTCTCTTCCTTCATCCTAACACCCAAAAGAGGAGAATCCACACATTAAAATGAGTAATTAGCCCTAGCCAGTATTAGCATTGGCTTTGCATGGACTACAGATAATTGAGAAGGCTTGAAATCAAATGGTTATACCAGGGGAAAGTGTGTGTAAGATAAATGCAATGTGCAAAAGCTCTCTATACATTACTTGCTCATTTTTGTTTTGTGCTAATCTACTATTAAATTAGTTAGAGCATCTCAAAGAGTATGAATCACAATTTCCAAGGGAGGCAGACAACTCACCTGTGATCTTGACATGGGCAAACCCAGCCCTACAGTATTAGTGCTCATCATAGAGAAATTCATACTCTGAGAAGAGGTCATAGTTGCCTGGGATGAGCCCATAAGATCAAATAGGTCTGAAGAATTTGAGGCAGCTGGAGATGGACCTGAAGGTGGTTGTGAGCCACTGACAAGTTCTACAGCCGGCTGTGAGGCACTGCCAAAGAGCTCACCACTGGAAGCAACAGGGCCTGACGAGGCTTGGTTGAAGGCACTCCAATCACCAAACTCTCCATTCCCACTTGTAGTTACTGAGAAAGAGAAAATGATAGGGTAGGAAACTTTAAGAAGGGCACAGTACAAATAAAACAATCTACAAACTGAAACCAATTAGAGATGATCTGTGTCCATCCAAATTAATATCTGCAGATACCACCTCCATCTGGATATTATTTTTTCTCATGAATATTCCACAAGTGTTAACAAGGTAACAAAGAAAAACAGAAAACTCCTATGAAGTAAAATCTATTTCTTAGCAGGTCAGAGGTGACACTTCTATATATATACAGGCAGTCCTCGGATTACGTCAGACTCAATGTACGTAATTTCATGGTTACGTCGCCATCTCCCATTTATTAAAAAAAAAAAAAAGTTCCATCATTTCAATATATGTACGTATGTGCTTCATATTTTTTTTATTGTTTATTTGCCAGAAGGTCAGGAATTATCTTTCTTTTAAATTTTCTTTACTGCTTCACTTCATATCTGCTGTGCATGTGCTCCATGTGAGTGACGTATGTTCTTAGGTAGGTAAGTTCCGAACTTACGGCAAAAATCCCATCACATTGCACCTTAGGAACAGATCTCTGACGTAACCTGAGGTCCTACTGTAAAAGCCTAAATAACTGTTCGGCTGTTTGACTGTTATGATGTGCACTGACCACCAGGGGGTAGACATTCAATGCACAGATATGGAAACATGGAACAGACTAATGAATCTCAGAGGGAAGGGTGGGAAGAAATTAACCAAATATCTTAAATGCATAGTAGAGGCCCAGTGTGTGGATTTGTGCACCAATGGGGTTCCTCGGCCTTGTCTGTGGGGATCAGGCCAAAACTAGCTTGGTGTACAGACTTGTTCACTGGTGGGGTGGGGATTGGGCTGAAAACGGCAGTCGGACACTCCCCAAGGGATCCTGGATTGAAAGAGGGCGCAGGCCAGGCCAAGGGGCCCCACCGATGCATGTATCCGTGCACTAGGCCTCTAGTAGAAAGCATAATCACAACTTCCCTTCAATCTTAGTTTATAATATCAAATGTGGTTTCAGCTAAACAAATATGAACTAGCCTGAGACCCCAAAAAGCAAGAAAACACTGTAAACTGGTTAAACTTTTTGCTGGGAGATCCAGAATCTTTATGCAAAGAGATACTCATTTCATTCATTTATTATTTAGAAAAGTTCAAGGAAAAATCAAATTATAATTTATACCATCTCATGTAAATAAAACCCAAATACATGACACTAAATTTATGAAACAAAAGCAGAAAAGCATGGAGAAAAAATAAAAATGAAGAGTAGGGTTAGTAAATTTCTATAAGTTCTCACCCATTTAGCTATGCTCCATTGATAATACAAGGGCTGTAGGTAGCCATAATATCCTATATAATAAAGAGGTAATATGTAAATTGACCCTCACACCCTCACAAGATGGCTTGCCTATGACCAGGCTGGCAGAGAGGGGCAATTGGGGGCAACCAGGCCAGCAGGGGGGTGGGCAGTGAGGGGTGACTACACGGGCAGTGGGGGGCAGTTGGGGGCAATCAAGTCGGCAGAGGGGGGCAGTTGGGGATGACCAGGGAGGCAGGCAGGCAGGTGAGCTATTAGAAGCCAATGGTCTAGTATTGTTAAAGGAATGTCCTCCAAGGGGTCCTGGGTTGGAGCAGGTGCAGGCTGATCTGAGGGGACCCTTCCCTCCCTGTTCCCGTGCACGAATTTTGTGCACTGGGCCTCTAGAGAGTGAGTGTGTGTGTGTGTGTGTGTGTGTGTGTGTGTGTATCCATCTTCAGTACACTGCTTGCTTCAAATAGAACTGTTCAATCTATTTATTTAAATAAAATGTGGGTTATAGTCTTTAGAAGGGAACTCATGCTAATATTTTTAAAATGAAAGGTAATGGTCCCTACACTTCAAGGTATAACTACAAGTTTAAGATTTAATCCATTCAATAATATAAAAATTGGTAAGTTAAAAGACTGGTGTTTAAAAATATGGATTTTGTATCTTACTAGCTGTGAAACCTTGAGCAAGCTACTTAAACCTCTTTATGCCTCACTTAACAAACAAACACAACCATAAATTGTGAAGATTAAATAAAAGGTTTGTTATATTTACTTTGGATTAATTGTGAAAAGACAGGGGAGAGCCAAGACATCACACTCTTTCCTTCAGGTATGCTATATAAGAGTGTAAGTCAAGCTTTATAAATTCTTCATTTATAATATTAACTATTTTGAACACATGAATATAAAGACAAGCGACTCTTAAAAAAAAAGTTTTCAACCAAGTTACACAAAAATCTAAGTAAATAAACCTTTCTTTAAGAAAGGGACAAATATGAATTCATGGACATTGAAAAAGCAAAGTGAAGAAAAAGCTAAAAACAGAACAAAACCCAGAATTAACCACTGAATGCATCTATAAATGAACAACAAATTTTTTTAAAAAAAGAGCAACATATAAACTGTCATCTGAAAGCAAATAGTTTGTATTTCTAAATTAATTAATCTCATCTCTTTGTAATCCATGTTCACTTAAAACTTGGAAATTCATTGTTTAGGTGAAAAAGCAATCCAATCACTGTAATACTATCGGTGTCTTATAATATTATGTTAAATATCAAGAGAACAACATTCAGTCTTTAATATTTTATTCTTTACTAGAGGCCCAGTGCATGAAATTCATGCATGAGTAGGGTCCCTAGCCTATCCCCCATCCTGTGTGCCCCTGTCTGGTGCCTCCCACCTGTCCCCCATCTGCCAGCAGCCCTGCTCCCACTGCCACCATTCCCATGTGCTGATGGCACCAGCTACGCTTGCATCTGCTGATGGCATGGAGCAATTAGAGCCAGCACCAGCAGCAGGTGCTAGTGGGGGCTATTGCCCTGATTGCCCCTCAGGAACAGGGGGAGGTGGAGAAGCCCTGAGGGGCGATTGGAGCTGGCCCTGGCAGCAGGTGCGAGCACCAGGTGGGACTGTGGCATATGGGAGCAAAGAATTTTCAGTAACCACCAGAGGTTTGCCCCAATGACAGCCACTGGTGGCCTCCCCCCCAACCTGCTCCACCATCCCACAGCAGCCCATGCCCACCATGTTCCGAACATGCCTCCTGGTGGTCAGTGCACATCATAACTAGCGGTTGAGCAGCCTTAACATATCATCAGCATATTACGCTTTGATTGGTTGTTCTGCCATTTGGTCTATTTGCATATTATCCTTTTATTATATAGGATTAGCATATTAAAATGTAAACACTTCAAAAGAGAAAGTAATTCACTTAGAAACCCTAAGCTCTACCAAAAATTCAATACCAAGAACTGGGCTAATATTCATTATATCAGGATTTTACTAAAACATGTCTCTGATCTTTACAAAAGAGACTGAACTAAGGTTTTACTACTAATTCTATATATTAAACAATTAAAACTAACTTAAGACTTGGATAAAGTATACTTTATGCTGATTTTCTATTTGCTTGATATATAAAACAGAAATAGAATGGAAACTGGGGCAAAATATGTTGCCCCGTCTGAAAACTTTATCTGAGATGATTAATCATGGGAGAAAGATATTTCTAGCAGGGCATATATTGTTCAGAAATGATTAATCATTGTTGCAACCATTTCAGCCCCTTGCGTAATGGTGATCAAGTTATATTAATCACATTCATAGATGAAGAGATTTATCACTTAGTAATAGTAATATATTTGAATTATTTGCATAGTAGGCAACTTTATATACATAAGAACTTGAGAATTACACAGGCAGTCTATAAAATTAGGGCAATGTTTATCTTCCACTTTGATTTGCCTAAAGCAAGATATGAACCCTTAGAAGGCATACCCACACTTCTAAAAGATGCAGTTTAATTACTCCATAATTCTGCTTTCTGGGAAATACTTGAAATTTATATAGGTAGGCTGTCAAAATAACCTCAAACCACATTAAAACTTATGGCTCTTGCCAAAACCGGTTTGGCTCAGCAGTAGAGCGTCGGTCTGCGGACTGAAAGGTCCTGGGTTCGATTCCAGTCAAGGGCATGAACATTGGTTGTGGGCACATCCCCCGTGGGGGTATGCAAGAGGCAGCTGGTCGATGTTTCTCTCTCATTGATGTTTCTAGCTCTCTATCTTTCTCCCTTCCTCTCTGTAAGAAATCAATAAAATATATTTTTTTTAAAAAACAAAAAACTTATGGCTCTTTCTTCCTATATCCTTACAAAACTAAATCAAACATTACTAAATATAAATTTTAACCCATTTATTATAAAAAAAGATAACTCTACTAGAAATGAGTTATAAGACTAATTCAGTTAAATTACATCTTTCCTCCTTGCCTCACTTAAGGGTTAAGATTTTTATAGATAAAATTTTTATGTCAATTATATTTCATTTTTTAAAAAGGCAAAAAAAAAAAGGCAAAAAAAAAAAAAGGTAAAAAAGCCAATGCCCAAGAAGAATATAAGCTTAAACATCAAGGATTAAGGTCTTTTTTCCCTTCTAATTAATATTTTTATCTTTCTACTCTTCCATATACTGTGGTAACCATTTAACTTTGGGAAAGCCTATGAGCCTCCAACTTTCTAAAATTGCAACTCATGCTTATGTTTGCTTTAAGTATACAACATAATGATTCAATATTTGTATGTACTATGAAATGATCACCACAGTAAGTCTAGGGCATTGTTTTACTTTTGACCTAACATGGAATAAAGAAATTTTTCCTGACATACAATTGCTCACTATTTAAGGATTTGTCAAAATGAAGTTCAATTATCATTCTTTTATTTTTTTAATATATTTTATTGATTTTGTACAGAGAGGAAGAGAGAGAGAGAGTTAGAAACATCGATGAGAGAGAGTCATCGATCAGCTGCCTCTTGCACACCCCCCACTGGGGATATGCCCGCAACCAAGGTACATGCCCTTGACCGGAATCGAACCCGGGACCCTTCAATCCCCAAGCCAACGCTCTATCCATTGAGCCAAACCGGTCTTGGCCAATTATCTTTCATAGAAATGCTCTTTGCTCTTAAGATATCCAGATTATAAAGAAATGAATTTTAGTAAAATAAGTCTGCCCAAACCCAAGGTCCCTGAATTTTATTCATTAACATCATAAGCTAAACATAAACCACAATACCCTTGCTGCTAAAATGAAATTTATTCTTATTAACACTTCCTACCTACACCCCCGCCCCCCCCCCCAAAAAAAAAAGTCTAAAAAGGAGTTATTTGGGAATAAGAACAATTGTTTTTAGGTGTACCTGAATGGTTTGTAAGCAAACTAATTCCTTTGGCACAAGTAAGACATTGGCCCAATAATATATCTTTGAATAAATTCACTAGGAATTAGAAATATAACAGGGAAAGAAATGCCAAAAAGAGGCTGATGTGGGAGGGAGGGAGTTGTTTTGATAACCTTTTCACAGACCCTAGATTTCTGGCCAATCAAATCAGATCATCATACCTTGGGAAGGGAAATTGCCTGACGCAGCAGCTGAGCCAAAGTCAGCAAATCCGCCAAATAAATCAGCTGATCCTCCTAGAAATTTAGTGTGAGGAAAAAGTTAAACTGTTAGAACCACAGAACAATTGATAGTAATTTCAGGAAGCCATTTTAGCACCACACTTAAAATATACCACCTATTAGAGGGCCCAGACCCACCATAAAAACTAGTTTGTTGATCTAGGTTTTCATGTCACCATGTTCTCTCTAAGCTACCACAGACTCTTACATTCCTCAGTTCTGTGTCTAGTAGGATAATTGACCCTATTCACTTATACGTCATGAACATAATGTGGGCATGCAGTTTATCCAGCCAACTGTGGTATTTATAAGAATCTTCAATGAATGCTAAAACCTGGGTAAAATGTTGCTGGGAAATATGATAGTCACATAATCTCGAAATACCACCCCAGATTATTTAGTAAATACCACGGGGTGAAGCTACTTTTACAGTGGAGAAGTTGGATGGATAACAACTGATGTGATCAAACTTAATAATTTGACTAAATAGTATTCATGGGCTCATAACTGTAAGGAACTGGAATGGCAATCATCACGCATTTAGAAAATTCCTGCTAAAAATATTAAATCTGAATCTAATGGTGAGGAATGAATAAGATAAATACAAATTGAGGACATTCTGTAAAACAACTCTTAAGACTTCAGAAAAAGTCAACATTATAAAAGACAAAAGGACTGGGACTGCCTAAATTAAAAGAGCTTAAAGAAACACGACAAGTAAATGAAATACATGATCCTTGATTGGACTCTGCATTTTGAAAAAAGTGCTATCCTGAAATGACATAATTGAGACACCAGGGGAATTTGAATATGGTCTGTATATTATTAGACACTAATACTGCTTTAATGTTAAATTTCCCAAGTATGATAATTACATTGTGATTAAAAAAAGAGAATTCCCTTGTTGTAATAAGATATATGCTGAAATAGTTTAGGGGCAAAATGTAATGATGTTTGCAATTTTCCCTTGTAGGGTATTCAATAAAACAACAACAAAAGAACTAAGGAGAGAAAGAAAATATGGCAAATTTTATGTAGGTTTGAAATTTAAAAAAAATAAAAGTTAGGGAAAAAACTCTGTTTAGTCCATGAGAAAGCAAATATTTGCATTTTTATTACAAGAAAAAGTAATCGCTTTTTTACTTCTAAACTGGTGTTTTTAAAGGGGTAAGATCCAAATCAAACTCTCTGCATAACATCACATTCTCATACAATCAGACACTACATACTTGTAAACACTACTTGGGTAAGAATATTTACTTTTATCTACAATTTGAACAGGAACATTAAATTAAAATTTAATATCCCATTTCTCTCCAATTATCACTTAAATAGTAATAGCCAAAGGATCCAAAACCTTAAATAGTTGTCCTTATTTTTGTTTGTTCTTAAAGATTTCATCTCTTAAGAGGCACAAACGTAGAAGTTTAGAGTAGTTCAATTATGGTGCTTTTAGTGTTATGCGAACATTATACAGGTTACATCACAGCTGCTTAGCCTGCAGTGCTTAGAAACTAGCCAGGTGGGACTGGAACATCTGGGCTGCACTCAAACACCACCAGGGACAGCTTCCAACATCTGGTGCCATTTCTGAATTGTCTTATCGCTGCAAGACATTCTGCCCCATCTGCTACACTCAACTGGGTTAATTAAACTAGAACTATCTCCCCTTTTTAATAAATGGCCAGCAGTAATAAAAGGAACAAGTCAATTTCGAAAACGTGTGTGTGTATTATTTCTTTTTAATGCACATTTGTTGAAGTCAACTATCAGCAGGCATAACTAATTCTTCATTCTATCACCACATTACAGATGCATATATTCTCACTCAGCATGAACTATATCGCATCCCACCAAGGCCAAGGTTCTCTACTCCTATCAGCACTACAGCTCATACATCTACTTTTGCTTTGTCCAAAGGATAATATCACAGTGACTTGTTTTTCTCTTTATAGGTACATATGTCATTATAAAATGTGACAAGAGGCACAAAAGATTAATGACCTATATTTTTAAACTACTTAAACAGGCACATATATTAATTAAAAAAATAGGGAAATGAATGTTGCAAACAGTTGCTGCTTAATATTCCTAAGTTGCCTTCTATAATGTTCCTTCATATTCAAAATATTGATCAAAGTATACTTACTGTTAGGTAGCAAAAGGATAGTTAATCATTTACTATTATGTTAAGGGATTTGAAAATTGGGGATTATTTTAAGTTGCTTCATCCAAGCAGTGAATAAGATCAATATGTAATTTATTATGTCAAACAAGTGAGGAATCTTCAAATCCTATTCAGTCTGGGCTACAAAGAAAATTCATGTTGTAGATAAAAGCACTGAGTACTGTAGATTACAACTTCAAATTGGGTAAGATATTTATTTTTGTCATATCCTGAATGTAATATTTTAGATAATTACCTACCTTATTCTACTGTTTTACCTTCTAACACCTAAACTGAAACTACTATGTTTATAGCATAACTCTAGCAAATACTACTTCTCTCCAACCATACTATAAAGGAATTTGATTTCAACATGACTAATTAAGAACACTGAGAGTAAAGAATAGAAACACGGCATGGCTAGGTAGCTACACTGATTACAGAGTTGTCCCAACACACCAAGGTTGTGGGTTCAATCCCTGGTCAGGGCACATACAAAAACCAACCAATGAATTTATATATATGTGGAAAAACAAATTAATGCTTTTTTCCTTTCTCCCTTCCTTTAAAATCATTAAATAAAAAATAAAAAGAATGGAAACATACACACTTAACTATTTTATAGATAGAAGCCACCCTTCCTTGAAAAGATTATTTTTTATCTTCTAAAGTGCCAGAGATTATGGTTCTACTTGTGTTTTTACACAATCTGATCTTCAACTCTGAAAACTACCTTAAAATTTAAAGATCTCTTTATTTCATTTAGGAAAAGTCTTTCTCCTAGAAGGGACCATCCATACCTATATGCATGATGTTATTTATACCAATGCCTTAAATTCAACAGAAATTTTCTATACTTAAGCATTTCCCCTGATAACTTCTATCTAAGGGAGTAAAAGAGTCTATCAAAAAATGCTGCATGTGGAAGACTGCTAAATTTCACACCAAGAGCTATCCTTCAAGATTCCCACATGAGAGCTGTCATTATAAATGAACCATTTCCATCTGCCTTTTCAGAGTAGCAAGGAGGTTATTTACAGTCACCAGCTGGGAACATGTATTTTCCAAAGCAACACTGTGAGAATAGGAAAAATATAGCTGAACTACAAATGAAATTTCCTTTAACAAAAAAATTTAATGTAGATTTCATTAGAAAAACAAACTTCTGCATAAAGAATTCTAACACAAATTTTTTTAAAATGACAAAAAATGTAAATATGACTAATGTAAGAAATTCTTTAAAAAACCATTTAAGAATAAACACCCCAATTAAAAAATGGACAAAAGATTTGCCACACAATAAATGCTAAGATATATTGACTGAATATATAAAAATGTATTTAAAAAAGAGAATTCACTAAAATTAATATTTAACTTTATGGTGAATCACTTGTTTTCCATCAAATTTCTAGTGAAATTTCAAGCATTACTTTTATAGTGAAAAGACAATAAAAATGAAATGGAATGGTTTTGGGCATTCTATTTCTAATTGGCTTATTTTCTAAAAACTTTAACACCACAGTGGGACATTTATAAAGATAGTCTCAAGTAAAAAAAAAAAATTTTAAACATTTTTACTGATTTCAGAGAGGAAAGGAGAGGGAGAGATAGAAACATTAATGATGAGAGAAAATCACTGATTGAACGCTACCTACACGCCCCTCCCCTCCCTCCCTTCCCCCAGGACTGAGCCCGAAACCCAGGCATGTCCGAGTTTCCTGACCGAGAATCAAACCGTGACCTCCTGGTTCATAGGTCAACACCTAACCACTGAGTCACACTGGCCAGGCTCACGTAAATCTTGATGAATGGATTTTCATGTATATTTTTAAACCTGGTAAATATCCTATAATGATTTTTACCACATAAATATTTTTAAAGTTGTTAACAATAAGGATATAACATATAAAAAGAGAAAATCTAAACATTTTCTCAGAGGAGATAGTAATCTGGTGAGCAATACAGATGCCATATCTGCTTAAATTTATAGTTTGTATCCATTTTATGTGCATGACGGTACCATTATAAGCATAGGCACATCTGGTAAATGACACCCAATGGCATACCAAATAGCAGTGCTAACATGGTAGATTCTTAGACTTTCTATGTGTATGTCGGTGCTAAAGATTTAATACCCAAATTTTTCACTGCTGAATTCAATTAAAATATATTACTAAAATAGATATTTTGGGTAACAAAATTTATGTACTGATTGGGGAAGTCTGCACAAATTGGTTAAACATACTGTTTCAAATAGGAAATGACTTTCCACATGTAATTGTTTTTTGTTTTGTAATTTTAAGAGAATATTAAGATAAACCTTTCAGGTTTCATTTGTCTCTATTACTATATTAATATTAATTGCTATTTCCATTTAATTAATCAATCTACTACTTGCACTGGAGAAGAAAAACCACACAAAGTTTTCTTATCACGCAAAGCAAACATGTTGGTATTTAATAATTCTCTCTGTTCAAAGTAATCATGGAGGGAAAAAGTTACATCCACTCATCTGATCTTCCTAGTTATTTCTTCTCTGATTGCTCCATTAAAACTTTAGACAAATGCATGAAAGGGGCTCTTTAATATTTCATGCCATGAAGTCCAAAATAGTTGATATTCTATGACACTATGTCTTTATTATAGGGCTTCATGCCAACCGCCAGTTAATACTACCATTAAAATATTAAAGATACAAAAAGCACATAAATTGTTTTAAAAAACTAATGAAATTGTAACCTTGTGCATGACAGTTCAATAGACTTTAGAGGATAATTTTAGGAACATTTTTATAGTTACCAAAAAAAGGGGAATTGGAATTAAAGAATTTCAGAAACTAGGTTGAACTAGACACAGTATGAGTTTACTCCCAGTCCAAGAATTTTATGATAGTAGGTAAGGAGAAGAAAATAACAGGAGCCTTTAAGTTAATTGTATGTACTACACTATTAATGAAGTGATTTCCATCAGACTTCCACTTAGACACTAATGTAAATTTTAATCCAGTTTTAGAAAATCATTACATACAACTAGGAACAATCAACTTATTTTTGCACATTACTTATATACCAATTTTGCCATCTACAATTTAATGTGAAATGAAATTTAAACAGATTGGGGAAAATTGTCTTTAAAGAGAAATTTTATTTCTTAAGCTGTTTGACTTGTTACACAGGAGTTTATTAGAACTCTATAATCACTGAATGCAACCTAAAATCTCAATTTTCTTTAAGCATGTTTATAACTAAGTAACTACTTGTGATTTTTGATTAACAATTACTGCATTTCCACCACTTGATCTTCCTAAGAAGGCAAGAACTATGTTTTCCTAAGCATTATATTCCTCTAGCACCCAGACCTGTGTCTGGTTCAACAAATACTTGTTGAATAAATGAATGAATTCTAGGCATGGCTGACACTGTTGGTCTGCAGACTGAAAGGTCCCAGGTTCGATTCCGGTCAAGGGCATACATTGGTTGCGGGCACATCCCCGGTGGGAGGTGTGCAGAAGGCAGCTGGTTGATGTTTCTCTCTCATCTATGTTTCTAGCCCTCTCTCTCTCCCTTCCTCTCTGTGAAAAATCAATAAAATGTTTAAAAAATAAAAATAAAAGAAAGCTTACCTGTTGATTGGCTGGGGCCATCAAACAGATCAACAAGGTCACCGGATGACTTGCTACTAGGCATTGAAGTCTGAAAATACACAAACAATAAGCTTAGAAAACTAATTTCTATTATTTTTTCTAAATCTGCTGTACTCTAATTTCTAACTTAGACACAAATAGTTGTAATTATCTTAATAGGGGTAAATTTAGTTTTCTTGGAAAAAACAAAACAAAACAAACAAACCAAAAAAAAACAGATGTGGTTCCAAAATCCTTATGGAGAGAGAGTTTCTGTAACATCCACATTCCTCTTTTTCCTAACTCATTTTTTATTATATTTCACTCTGGAACATATACTTTCTACAAAAATTTTAATGCTGCATATCAGAATCATGAGAAGCATTAAGGAGTACCTGGGACCTCATCTCAATATGTTGAGTCATAACTGCCCAGGTCGGAATCTTGGCCTGTACAGTCTTACAAAGCTCCCTTGATAATTCCAATGCTTAAGAATGTCTGAGATCCACTGGATTAGAGGCCAACATCCTATAAAGCACCAAAATTCTATGATTCTGTGAACTTTAGCAACACTTATTGTTTGCATACTATGTAAGTCAGCACAATTCTATTTTGTTTGATATACCTTGACATTTAATTATTTCATATTTAGTTCCCAAACTAAATATTGGGGCTGGAGCTGTAATATGATTTTTCTCCTTCCCATAGTGCAAAGCACTATGAAGCATATGCTATATTCAATACATACACGTTACATGAGAACAGAATTGCTAGGCAATACGGAAACACCATGAGTTCCTAGGCTTGTTAATTTGAGCTTTGAAGATTAAAATATTGTATCATGGTTCAAAAAGGCTTTGAAATTGAAGGAGATCTACAATAGTTGAGAAACTTTTTAAGAACTTTGACCTTCTAAACTTTTTTTTGTAGTAAAAATAAAATAAAGAGATATAAAATATTTATGGCAGAGTGACATATTCAGACTGTACTATAAGTTGATATTTAAAATCCTATAAAATATAAAAATATCAATTTATTGTTTAAAAACTAGGCATTTGGGAGGATTTTCTTCATGCAACCTTAAATGAATTCTCCACATAATAACCATCATGTATTTGGGTTTTAACTATTTACTAGATGCCGTACTGTCATCATCAGTAAAATAACTATATCCACAATAGGGGAAATCTAAGACCAGAAAGAAATAACAGCCATTTCCTCTCTTTAACTAAAGTTGAGTTGTAATTTTGAGGTTTTTATCAAAACTTGAAAGAGCGAATATGAAGTTATATACTAGAAGATATTTGGCAAAAGTTGACACAGTACTTGTTGTTCTTTTTGTTTTTTAAATCCACACCTGAGGATATTTTTCCATTTTAAGGAGAGTGGAAAAGAGAGGGAAAGACAGAGAGAAATATTGATGTGAGAGAAATACATTGATTGGTTTATCTACTGCATGAGCCTTGACCAGCACCCAGGCCTGGAGAGGAGCCTGCAACCAAGGTATGTGCCCCTGACCATTATAGAACTTGAGACTCTTTGGTCTGCAGGCCAAAGCTCCATCCACTAAACCAAACTGGCTAGGGCATGCATAGTACTTGTTCTTGAGAATAAGTAGGATTAGCTTTATTTTTAGCCATCTACTATTTGCAGGATGCATTAGAAAAATGTTTCCCTTAGCTTTTAGCTACTTTTTTTTTTTTTTTAATATATTTTATTGATTTTTCACAGAGAGGAAGAGAGAGGGATAGAGAGTTAGAAACATCGATGAGAGAGAATCATCGATCAGCTGCCTCCTGCATACCCCACACTGGGGATGTGCCCGCAACCAAGGCACAAGCCCTTGCCTGGAATCGAACCCGGGACCCTTCAGTCCGCAGGCCGATGCTCCATCCACTGAACCAAACCGGTCCCGGCAGCTTTTAGCTACTTCTGATGCAAAGATACAAGATGAGCAAACACTAGCAGGGGAAGTGAGAAAACAACAATTCATCTTTTTTGAGATAAATCTCCCTCTTTGGCAGGTTTCTGTCTAAGAGACTAGCTATGAGTGCTTACAGCTCTTTTTAAAAATTTGTCCAGCAAATTTTAAATTTGTTCCCCAAAAATAAAAATAATAAATAAATAAATAAATAAATAAATAAATAAATAAATAAAGGACTAGCTATGGCCAGGTATCTAGTAGGTGGACATCCATTTCTGTAGTGAATGAAAAAAAGATGAGGAAAGTACAAGAGTCAATGCTACTATGGATCAATAGTGACCACCAAGTAAATAAGATTTCCATTTAAAGGTGCATCTCTGTATTAAATAAGACCATTTCCCCTATATATCTACTTGGTCCTCTTTTGTCCTTTCTTACAACTTCCAAGTATTCCCATGTTTTCCTTAGTGAATCTTGTTGTACTTGGTAACCAGAGGTGTAACTAGATGGAAACAGATATACTACCAGCATATTCTGATTCACAATCGTTACCAAGTAAGAGTGTCATTTCTACTTTCATAGAAAGTGCAGGCATTCATTCAGGAATCAGACAGATTTCTTTCCCCCAAGAGATGTCTTATTATTAATGAATGACTCTGAGTAATACATGCCAAATGATCTATAATTAATATGATTGCCTGAAAATGCCTAAGCCTACTAATGCAGTAATTCTAAAAGTAATTTATAAGAATAAAACTGTGTGTAATGTGTCAATTCGTGCCATTCCCACCTTAACTGAAGACTGAGGCATATGAGTTGAAGCATTCTGATCTGGACTTGCTTTGTCCCCTGTGTAATGTGCTGCCGCTCCAAGATCAATGGTTTTGGAAGGATTTGCTGTGCGCTTGTGCCTGGTTGTGGTGGTCTCTGTGGCTTGTGTGATATGGATATGCTTTGTCGTCACAGTCTCCTCTTCATCTTTGAATTCACCTTTGGGAGATCTGCCTCTTCTTGCTTTCTTCTCCTCATCACTGTCGCTAAAAGATATTAAAAATAAAGTAAAATAATAAGACTAGGGATTATTTTAAAATGGAGTCCTCGGTGATTTGAGCTAGAGAATTTCAAATACAGTAACTCTAAAATTCATACACTTTGACTATTTGACAGGGATCAACAGAGTATTATCTAAGCTATCTGAATAATGACATGGATGTGTTGGGGAGGGAAAGTAGGACCCAACCAGTTCCCTAGATAAGTCTAAAACACTGCTATAAAAATGTATTTACATAAATGTGTACAAACAAAAAAGTCTGAAATAAATCAAGTACTTATTTATTATAGATTTAAATCTTAATTAAAAATAGTAGATTATTATATCAGAATCAACAGAGGAGATCCTAAGAGTTATATACTAGAGTTATATACAAAATCTGCAATTGATGACCATTTTCTTGAAATGGTTTGTATGGAACTACAGTTCCATTTACATAATATAATTCTGTCACTGAATCTCCTATACTAATGCAATACATAATAAAATATTTCAATTTCCATGGATATGTTTTAAATATTATATTTAAATTCAAATGATTAAACATTAATCTATAAATGCAAAGAAATATAAGATAATACACTTTACAACAACTGTGCTCTTTTTTTTACAATAGTATCAGCAGATCAAATATATTACTTCATAGAAAACAAATATATTTGAAATGTTTTCTCAGGCACATTCAAAAAGATTTTTTTTTAACAGTGTAGAAGAAAAAATACAAAACGAGTAAAACACCTGAGTCTTTCACATGCCATGGATTTAAAAAATGCCAGTGCTAGTCCTTTTTTCCAATAGTAAAGCATTGGGAGTTTTGGGGTTTCCTTTGGTGCAAGTAGAACACAGAGAGAAATTATCCAAAGTATACCATTACCTATATTAATTTTAGAGTAGGTGGTTTATAAATATTAATTTTAAAATACCCTGAAATAAAACACTGAAAGTTCTCTTTAAAACTATGACTATTATTACTAATGTAATTTAACTCGGACTAATTTAACACAATTTCTACTTAAATATAAACACATTTGAATGGTTTAATTCCAAATCTGTGCAAATCAAGGTTCAAGAAGAATGGCTTCCCACACAGCAAAGGGATTAAATGCATTTTTTATCTATAAGCATTTTAAGGAATCTACAAATTCTGATTGTTTAAAGTTCTTATCACTTACTATACAATTTCTCAGCGAAAATGGCCTAAAGATCCCCACCAGACCTATAAGTAAAACAGAAATTTCTTACCTTCGGAGGTCCAATTTTATTTCAATACAAGGTAATTTCTTTATAAGTTGATAACATAAACTTGACTAGCACACAATGAAATAGAAGCCTCAGATCTGATCTGTGTTCAAAAATTCCTAAATCTAATAATGAACCAAGATGTGTGAAATTCTAGTAATATGCCAGAGAGGTCACATGCAACTTTGTCCAAAATCTTTGGACTTTTCCTTAAAAATACTCCAAGATGTAAAGTCCCTGGTGTGTCCTTTAATTACTATGATAAATAAAACGCACTGTATTTTCACTCTTAAACTTTGATATTCTATATAAAAGATTTAGGAACTCTAGCAGATCCTATCTTAGAGTCAACATAGAAAAAAAAAAAAAAAATCAAGGTAGAAAAAGAAAAAAACAAAAACAAGAATAAGACGACGAAAGCCCTGAAAGAAAAACTGAGAGTGTGGGACTGGAAGGGCAAAGGAAAGTAATAACACAAGAACATATAGATGTCTAACCAACCTATCTACCTAATTACCACACTTCTTCAGGAAATAGCAGCAGAATATATGGCCACAATGTGTTTTCTAAACCAAAATAAAAATGTAAACACACAGGCCACAAGAACATTAATGAGAGAAAAATTGCATAGAATATTTGAAGTAGGCATTGTTTCCCAAGTTTAGTATTTATTAACATATTTAACTATTTCAGTATTCAAGAACTAGAAATGTAGTTATAAAATAGATATACATATTCAAAGCACTAAAAATAAATTCTAGTTCTTCAAAGATGTTATTCTAGAAACAATGTTGAAAAAGACAGGAATTCCAGGGATAAAATATATATGGAAACACTAAACAAATATTTAAAAAATCCCTTTCAAAATTATATTTCCTCTTTTGATGACCCCTAAATCTGAATTATTAACATGTTTAAAGGAAAAAAAGAGACAGTACTTAATTATAAGAAGTCACTTGAAGGTTTCCACCACTAATTGTTATTTTAAGCTAGTTTCACTCAGCCTTAATGGACCTCAGGATTTACTTCTATACAGTAATGGTAAGAACCCTTTCTTTAGCCTATCAGAAATACTAGGGGGCACAAATGATAAAATATTTTGTAAAACTTGCTTTGTTAGTGAAGTGCTCAGCATACATTGCTCTTTTAACTAGAAGGAAAACAAGATTATAGCTATACTGGTAAGAAGAAGAAAAACTAATGCTATTCCAAGTATTGCTCTATATAAATCTAAATAACAATGCCCTACTATTAGAATTGTAGTTTGTGAAAATATAGGTTTATACTCAAAAATATTTAGTCCAAAATCCATTTGGAATTTTTTTTTCTGGTACACACTGGCACAGAATCATAATGAAATGTCACAGGAGGAGTCAAATTTCAAACCCTAGTTTTAAATTTAATATAATAAACTTTGTTATCCTTCAGCAATATCTTAGATCTCTGGATAATCTAATACCCAAATGAAAAATAATCTCTGAGAGTTCTTAATGGCAAAAAAGTAATTCCAATAAATAGCCTGAATAAAAACATGTAGGAAATGTGATAACTTTAGAAATAAATGGACATAGACAATATGTAAAGTGTGTTAATATTAATGTAAAACAATGTTTGACCTTGCATTTTAAAAACAGCTGCACAGCCAGTCATCAGCAACAAACATACTAGTATTGGAATACAGAGAAGGTAAGCATAAACCATGTGCAAGGATGACATGCAAATTCATAAATCATTCCATATTTTTGCATAGGGCATTTTTAGGGCAGGGCAACTATTCTATATGGTTCTCTAATAGTGGATATTATACATCTGTCAACTGTACAACACAGTGAACCCTAATGCAAACAACAGAATTAATAACAATATATCAATATTGGTTACCAACTGTTAATAAATGAACCATATTAATATGAGATGTTAATGACAGTAGAAATTTTACGTGTGTTAATATGGCCACTTTGTACTTTACACACAATTTTTCCAGGTACCTAAAACTTAAATATATTAGGAGGAAAAAGTTGAACCTCAAATAATAACACTCCAAACAAAACAAAGACAAAACCAGCTGCATAACTTTAACACCCTCTCCAAGTGACCCAGAATACAAAGTGTTAATACCTGCATCTTTCTGGAGAGTCTTCTCTATCTTTCCTCCGGAACTTGCTGATGGTGTCATCAATTGTGCTTCCAATTTTATCACTCAGTTCACCTAATTTATCACTGAATGGAAAAGCACTTTTGTTTTTATCCCACTCCTCATCCCATTTTGATTTGGGCTCAGGATCATATCTTTCACCTATATAAGCATTAAAAAGAGAAGCAACTCTAAGGATATTAAATTCAGAAGGTATCTACAGTTCTTATGTCTGAAGCTTTTCCTCATAATAAAATAGTTTTCAAAGGAAAACAGAAAGCTCCCACAGTGCTGAATCAACACAATTACAGCAAAGCACAGCATGTACTGCCAGTCATTAGGTGGCAGGAATGCAGATTCAAAAGCTTTTATTTATGAAAACTTGCATGACCTTAATGCATAGCACAGCACTGTCAGGAAGTTCTTAAAGGCTGCTGGAAGGAGTAGAGGAAAACACAAGAACCACCACAGGCTATATAAGCAAAGGACAAATGAAAATCTTTCTGTTTTCACAAAAGTCACTTAATGAATTATATTTCATTCCTGTCTCTCAAGGATTTTTCAATTATTAGAAAAGTACTGGATGGCAAAATCTCCTAAAGCACAAACTATAGGATGCTACATATCCCAATATGCTGAAAAGACTTACAAATGTCATTCCTTAGCATCAAACTAGACATATAACTCAATGGACTTCACGACATGAGAAAGCATCTTTTAATTATGGTAACAAGAAAAATATAGTCTAACTACCAAAAGCGACACTGGAATCATGAAGTATGCTCAAGCAGTTCAGAACAAACATATGCTGGGACTGCAAAACCTAGGAAGCCTCAGTGTGAATTTGAGAGTGAAGGGAATAGATCATGGCAGTGAACAAAAAAAACACACCCAAATGTCAAGATCTGTTTTCGTCCTTGATCTTGGGGTCCAAAGGAATTATGAATATTAAAGGGAACTTTTCCATTTCTCTGTCCATATCCAAACTCAACTTAAGAGACAAGAATAGAAGGTTCAGAGAAGTCATGAGGTTAAAGAGAAAAAAACATTGAAAATTTAGGTTGGAGGAGATAATAGATCAACCGAAGGACTTGTATACATGCATATAAGTACAACCAATGGACACAAAACTCTGGGGAGGGAGGGTATATATGGGAGAGAGGGGTGTTAAAATATGTACACAGATAATAATTTAATTTAAAAAAGGTTAAAAAAAAAAGAAAAGGAAAAAAAGAAAATTAAGGTTGGAGAAAAAGGGGTAGAGGAATGAGAAATAAAATAATTCAAATGTGGCTAAGAGAGCTTTTGTTTTGAACTTTGGTTAAAAAGTTCTGATGGCATATATGTCCTTTGGAGATTGAATAAAACCATTTACTGAGTTGCCCACTAAAATTTTCTGTAAAAGATTGAGGATTATAAAATATTTCTACTAATCTGAAAGTGACCAACTTGAACAAAACATGAATAAAGTTTATTAAATTTAATTATGGAATTAAATTTGAACCCCCAACCAGGGTATATTCCCTGACCAGGAATCAAATGCGCACCCTTTTGGTGTACGGAACAATACTCCAACCAACCGAGCTACCAGAATGGTTTTATTAAAATGGTGGTTTTTCTAATAATGTACATTTCAATGACAATGTGATAAACCAGACTGAAAAAATTTTTGACCAGAAAAATCAAAGTAGATGAAACTGGTTATTTTGGTAGATGTCATATTAAATGTGTGCCAAAGATACTGGATATTGGCAGAACATTATCTGATATCAGAATGAAAAAACAAAACAAAACAGCAACACATATATAAAATAGTTAAAGTTGATTAATTAGGTCTCTGAAAATAATTTATAAAAGAATGTGATGCAAATAAGATATATAACTAACTTATCTCCACTGCAAATACTGTACTTATTAGTTTACTGTGACTGATTATGAAAACTTATTCAATTTTCTAAATTTAATTTTACATTGTGCTGGTAAAAAAGAGGATTATAAGCAAGTAGAATGAGAAAATAAGTTGCAAAGAACAATTTTTACTAAAAAATACATTAAATTGCTATAGCTAGTTTGAAAAAGTTAAAGAACAAAATAAATTACTTAGGTAAATAATTTAAAAATTTCTTATTCCCCTAAACAAATAAAAATTCCAAAACATATTTACATTATTTATTTAATATAAATATTTTTTCCTGACTCACGAATTCCCTTTTGATGCTGAGATATAAAGAAATTTTCTGCTGTTTGTTAGACACATCCTCTAACAGCAACTTACATACAGTATTTTTTCTTGTGGGCAAGAAAGCAGAGTTGCAAAGGAGTGAAAATATTCTTTTATGTTAGTAGGTTATCACAAGACAAGAAATAGAAAGTTTTCAGAATTCCAATGATGAGTTATGACTTCTCAGTATAATCCAAGTATAAACAATTCAGATGTGGTGGGGAGAATTGGAGAGCCCCAATATGTTAAGTATAGTTAAGTATACGTAGCACCATGTCCACAAAATGACCAGGGATGACCAGAGCTCCAGTAGAGCCGAGTCCAAAGAGACATGCTCGGAAAGATCTATTTTCTGTATCTGTTTCAAGCACCTAGTGATCTATTTTAGGCAAACTATATTACATTAAAATTAAACACAGGAGCTCTGTCTGGGTAGCTCAGTGGTTGGAGTGTTGTTCCGTACACCAAAAGGTTGCGCGTTCGATTCGCTGTCAGGGAATATATCCTGGTTGGGGGTTCAAACCCCAATCAGGTGCATACAGGAGGCAACAGGTTGATGTTTCTCTCTCTCTCATCAATGTTTCTCTTTCCCTCTCCTCCTCCTTCCCTCTTTCTCTAAAATCAATAAACATATCCTTGAGTGAGGATAAATAATAATAATAATAATGATAATAATAAATAAACACAGGAGATGAATGTTCTAGCTGCTCTGAAATGTGTTAGGAACAATACAATGATAGGCCTAGATGAAAATTGATGGTATTGCCAGTCACCTTTTTCTACGTCAAATTAATGCACTGCCTAATGAAGGGAAAAGACCAATGCTGAACTAACTTATAGGAAGTTTAGTATCTATTTTTGACCCCAAACAGCTAAATTGGTTTCAAATTAGAAAGATCAACTCTTGATCAAAATTCATATTTTTATGTGCTAAATGGTGAATTAGAAAAATCCAATTTTTTTAAAGAATGATAATCCCAAGAGAGAAGGATATATAGTTTTATTGCAGTCATTTAATTAACAATTAATGTTTAAAATTATATTCTTGAATCCACCAAAGTAAAAAATAAAGAGAAAGATTCCTAAAATTCATGTAATAGGAGCTGAAATGGCTATTATATATATTTTAGTGTTCTATGTATTCCTAAAAAAAAAAAAATAAATAAATAAAAATAGCATTTTGGTCTTCCATATTTCAATAATTCTTAAAATATAACCAAGAAGTTAAATTGATATTTAGGTGCCAGTCTGTTTTTGATACTCACTGTATCTGAATCCTCCAACACTGTCTGAGGAAACCCCAACATATTTATCTTTGTTCTTCTTTGCTTTCTTTCGCTCTTCACGAAGCCTGTCGTCGTCCTGGGCAAATTCAACCAATTCTTTCACCTTCTGGCGAATATTTATACCTTGATCCTTACCATGCTCATCTGTGAGGATGGTAAGGGAGAAACAAAACCTTAAGAATTCAGTCAATTTGTATCGAATTCTTTAACACAAAAAACAGGCATGAAAATTTTCAACATAAGAAACTAACTTCAATATTTTAAAATTAATAAAAAGAGGCAAAATGTGTTGTTAAAATTTGTCATTTCCTCATCAGCAAATTCCAAAGTTTGAGATACAATTTTGGTTTGTAAGAGCCTGTAAAGGTGATTATAAAGGACTAGAGATAATGCTATGCAAGATCAATTAAAAATCCACTAAGAAGGATTACTAATAATGACCATATGAAACGGGACTTAACATCCATAAATGTTATTTTCTTTTTCAATGGGATTACAACAAAACAAAAAGCAACACTTACTTCAGTTATTAAAACTCACAATTAATGACCCACCCCCCAATTCCTTGGTTTTCCCAATACAAGTCTGAAAACACTAATTACCAGAATTTAGTATAGCTTGAAAAACTGAATTTTAAAGTGCTTTCAACTGGGGTACACTACAAAATGAAATGCGGTGCATTCTGTATCCTCTTTCACATTCAAAACACACTCTGGCCTTGCTGCCTTGCACAGTAAATATTATTTGGTGGGAGGAAAAAGCCCCCAGCTTCAAACAGATGTGTGTGTTTTGGAGCTCTAACCTTTTCTTCCCATCTGATTAAAGCTATTCCTTTATGGACACCACAGGGGACCAGTCTCCAGTGCATATTTTAATATAAACCCGAACACTCATGTTGTGTTGGTTCTGTTGTTATTAGCCAGTCTTTTCTGCAAGTTCTTGTCTTCACTAATTAATACTCTAGGGCCCCATGTCTTGGATTCTGCACTCGTCACACAACCAGCAACAGTCACATTCTAATTAGAGCGGAGAAGCTTCTAAGCTGGTTCAGGTGACTGACAACTCCAACTACTGTTTTAATTTGCTTATAAGGTTTTTCTATTGCTCACCTACAAAGTGGTAATTTTCCAGGGATCGCAAATCATAAATGTGTTCTCTGGCACTTGTAACAACACGCTCTGATCCATTCCTTATGAGGTAAGCTAGGAGCAGCAATGACTGTAAAAATAAAAAGCACCAAATAGTTTAACAAAATAAATACTGGTAGAGCTTTGGTAAATGGTTAAAGAAAATAATCCCAACATTAGCCAATAAATAATCTTCGTGAGGGGAGTGGAAACTCTTTATGTATGTATACAATCTAAAACCTAATATTGTCAATTTGAAATCCCCTTATATCAAGCACTATATACTGAATACCATGTGTCAGAAGATGAAAAATAAAATTCGGATGTTAAGAAATATTTGAATGTATGATATAAATGAATACTAAACTTTTAGAAAGCTGGCTCAGTTTTTACTTTTCATCTGGGAATTATGGAAGTGTGATTTGTTAGAGCATAAATTTAAAGAGAACAACTATTTATGAATTATAAGATCCCACAGAATTTTCCACAGATAAAATTTAATTGTGGGGGTTGATAATGTGGCTTTTGTTTCAAACATTTGCTGCCAAGAAATAAAGAGAAAAACGTTTATGAGGTTTCTTTCTGAGGTGATAAAAATGTCCTGGTATTAAATAGTGGAGAATGCTGCACAATTACACTAAAAGAAGTGAACTGTGCATTTTGATCAAACTGTACATTTGGAACAAACCTCACATAAAGATAAGGTCTATAAAAATTTAACTAAGTTGGCAAAATTGAGTGGTAAAAACCCTCACCAGGAACTATTCTTGATTTACTTTTTTATTATTTTGTGTTTTTATTTTTTCTTTATTGTTGAGAGTATTACATATGTGCCCCCTAAAAAGTAGTTTGCAAGGATTATTTTAAACTCTAATCTAAAAAATTTCATTTACAGAAATTTTAACTATTTTATCATAACTACTGTACAAGTTGAAGAAATGACAGTGAATGTTTTCAGAAACAAACAGCATACAAAACATGTAACTAAAACATTGTTTTTCAACCCTGAAAGCCAGAAATGTTGTTTTCAAAGTCTCAAATATAAATATTATACATCTTTTTAGAAAGCATATTAGAACTTATTCCAAATAGCAAAAAAATATGGTGGAAAAGGAAGAAGAGATGACTATCTTGTTTTAATATTCTAGATGATATTAGGAGATCAAAACAGATTCTCTAACTTTATTTTAAACTAACATTTTTAATTCAGGATTCTGTAATAATACTGTTACAAGTTAGGCAAAATTTTATGTAAAGATGACAAACCATATTAGACTATAGTTTTCATCTTAATTGCTCATATACTAAATATGCATACTATTATAGATTCATTACTTCTGATATGCATAAATGTTTTTAGTTGGAAAAATTTTAATCTATAAAGTAAAAATAGTCAACATTTAGAAGTAGTATTAATATTGTTTTTAAACACCTAAGAATAGTTGTTCATGGTAACTAGAAAACAGAATGCACATACTTGTTTTAGGATATTCTAGGATTTAATGTCACTTATGAATATACACCTTAAAATTTCAAGCATTCTTTTTAAACATGTTAAATAATAAAAACAGACTAATGCCCATACCTTATAAACTCTTCTCCAATTTTTTTTGTTGTCTTTTAACATTCGTGACCAAAGCATATTCATAAGTTCTGGAAATTGTTCATACATAAATGTGGCCCTGAAAAGAGAATAATTTTCCTTGCAATATGTTAATTTTGACAGTAGATGGCAGGCTTGTTCTAAGTTGTTATGTTTTCTTAAAGAGCCTTAAAAAAATTAATACGCTTAATTTAAAAAATTTAATGATACGCTTCCTTAAAAGTGTTTTTCCTGTATTTTGTATAATATCTAGTACATTTATAAACCCAATAACTAATACTATATTTTACAGGTCTTTAAATTTCATAAGTTTATTTCAAGTTATTTTATATACATGTCAAACTTTTACATGGTAAGTTACAGTAAGTCTTTAAACTTCATTGACAAAAATTTTTGCTTTACTTTTTTGAGCTAATTTTTAAAGGGAATGGACCTGGTGTAAAAAAAACTTCCTCCATTAATAGTTGAATGATTATGCAAAATTTCTATCTGGCAGATAAACAATTTAAAACTGAAAGCAAATTTCACATTTCTGTGTAAAGATACTTGGATTCTTTCTGCACTGCTGAGTCAAATTATAACTTACTTGGCAATCTCTCCCATGAGTTGCCCAGAAGGTCCCCAAGGATCATCATTCGTGGCTTCTCGAACCTTAGACTCGATCTCTGAATAATTCATAACCACATTGGTGCTGCAAAGGGAAAAAAATGCACGCACATACGCACAAAGATTAGCATCAAAATGTGAGAAATACATGAAAACTTAATAATGACACTACTGGGTGTCCTAATGAGATACCTTTACAGGGTGGAAAAGAAAATATCTTCTATGCACAAGCTACCCTGAGGACACTATATAGCATGTTTAAGCTATCTTTAAGAAGATTTTACTATTCCATTATTCAAGGATACTGATAATAGATTATATTAGTACTGGCATAATTCTAGTAAAAAATGATTTGGGGTCAAATTAAAAAGAAAATTGAACATGATAGAGTTTATTATAAACTAAAGTTGTCTGTTTCCTGACTCGAACTAGTTTACATGCAGTCTGAAATTTCTGGCTTACAGAAATTCTGGAAATTGACAAAATTATGTAACAGCTGAACATTATTTATATTTTTTAAAAAGCAATAACAAGAGATAACACTCCCACTTTGAATATTTAACTGTAAACACTTAATCTTTTTCACTTATCATATACATTTTGAACCTCACTATATAGTCACTGTAATCCACACCTTTAATGGCTACAGTTTATCCATCAGGAGATTTTGTGATAATCATTTAACTTTCACTTAGACTTCAGTAGTGGTCAAGATCGTCGCTTCTAAGAATCAGAAAGATCACATTGCAATCACTTCGTAACCTCTGACAAAACTATTTTAATTCTAACTCGGCTTATTCAAATGCAAAATTAGGATAAATAAGAGATTACTAATTCAAAGGGAAGCATATCAAATGGTACTTATTTATTAGCACAGTGTCTGACACATAGGAAGGGCTTAATATGTTAGCTATTATGCTTTTATTCTTAAAGATAATCACCTATTAGAATTGTAAAATATTAAATATTTTTATAAAAAATGATTAACTTTAAAGAGTACCTTGAATTTAAAATATTAGATGGCAAAACTGCTTTATATTTAAAGCAATTTCACATGCTTATATGGAATTAAGAATTCAAAGATATGCTGAGGAGTAAAGAAATACTTTGAAAATGTGGCACACAATAATCTGACATCTAAAAGCTCCAATTGTTACTAAATAATTGTTACAATAGATGACAATGAATATGTTAATTCAAATCTCCCACTTAAAATTAAGTCTTAGAAATAATGAGAAATCAGAATTTGGTTTTTCTATTACTTAAATAGATCAACTTTTGCTATATAGTTTTTCAGCCATCAAACAATTTTGCTTTTAAAATATGCAAGGTTTGATTAAAATTGGCAATCGAATCTTTCTAAAACATAAAGAAATATAAACTTCAGATTTACTGAAAACACTTCAATTTATTTTGAAGGAATAGACTAGTTATAAACAGTTTTGGGACAAATTTTAAAGGAACCATTATGCATATAATTATGACTTGCCAAATCACAGAATAAACCCGACTTCTAGATTTACATTCAAAATACTGTTCTACCAAGGAAGAAAAGCAAAACTATTATTTTCTTTTAAATCCTGGAAAATATTAATTAATGTAATAAAATAAATACAAATTATTTCCCTGGGGTTAAAATAAAATACACAATTTCCACTGTCTCATTTAAAATTTAATACTATTAATGAGTGAATTTACATAAAAATCCACTAATGATTCTATTGGCAATAATTTTATGTATAAAGGGAATAACCATATTTTTTTCCTAATTTTGTCAACAATGGCACCAAAATAAAATCAAGGCAACCAATGACAGATTTGCAATTTAAGATGCCACAAAATAATTGATTTCAGAATGCTTTTGTTTGTCCTACTGGCTGAAGAATGTGTGGCTTAGGCAGTTAAAAGTGTCAAAATGCAGCTGTGGGAATGAACAATAGCAATTAGGATTATAGTTCATTCAAGCATTTCATTACCAAGAATGCGCTTGAAATCTGTTTGCATTGTTTAATTTGTTTGAGAACAAGATTAAAGAAGTTAATCTTAGTCCATACTCCTGAAACATTTTCACTAGAGCCTTCATAAATGCTGTTGCTTTCAGAACACTACTTTCCTTGTTCAAGCTACAAAAGCCCATGGGTCAAATGAGAAAGGTCCTGTTTCCATAACCCTTCACAAAATTCTTAGCTGAAGGCCCGTGGGTTTGAATATTGTGTGTTTAGAAGGAGAGGTGGCAGAGAGCCAAAAATTTAAAAATCTTATTTCATTGGTTCGAAAAACAATGGGAACTATGTAAAATGACAACTTGCCATTAACACAGATGTAGTACAATATCGTTATAAAGTATATCACAGAAAGATATGGCAACGATAATAACAAAAAAATAACAAAATGAGAACACTTCCATGAAGAGAAGCAGGCTCTATTTTAAAGACATTTTCCACTAAAACTTTCAGAAACTAGAAAGAATTCTCTTAATATGAGATCTAATCACGAAGAATTTCAAAACAAAGTATTTTTAAGACTCACTTAATTCAGAAACAAATGTAAACTAAAACAAAAAAGAAAAACACTGTATAGTTTGGCCTTATTCCAAGTCATTCAAAAATAACTATTTCTAAAAAGGTAGAAATGGCATTTTTTAAATCTTTCCTTTCCCAAGTTTTCTATTGCCCTCAATACACACCCTACCCATAATTCCAGTGACCTTTTTAAAAAAGGAAACCCCCCCCTCCTTCCAAAAAGAAAAGTTGAAAAAATTATGTCCAGATGTGAAAGGAAAAAGAAGCTAATTATTCCCTAAAACTTCCCATGATTGACACAAATGTTTTAAAATGGATATTTCAGACACTAGAGGGGGCTCTCTCATTAGTTTTTTAAAACATAAAATTCAAACAAAGGTTTTCAATCTATTTCAAAAACAAAATTATAAGAAACTAGTGGCCGAGGAGCATCGGTCTGCAGACTGAAGGGTCCCAGGTTCGATTCCGGTCAAGGGCATGTACCTTAGTTGCGGGCATATCCCCAGTAGGGGGTGTGCAAGAGGCAACTGATAGATGATTCGCTCTAATCAATGTTTCTATCTCTCTCTCTTCCTCTCTGTAAAAAATCAATAAAATATATTTTTAAAAAAGAAAGAAACTAGTGACCCAGTGCACGGATCTGTGCACATTGAAAGAAAATTAAGTAGAAGGTAGCTGGTTAGCGGGACTGGGTGAGACAGGTCCAACATGCCCTGGAGCCAACCTTCTGTGCCCCTCTCCACCCCCCAAAGTCTGTGAGTGAGCAGGGTCCCTCCAGCAGGTGGGGTCTCTTGGCTTGGCCTACGGGAATTGGGCCGAAACTGGACCCTAGGGGTCCCAGAGTGCAAGAGGGCACTCTGCAAAGTTGCTGTCATATAGGGTGTGGAACGCAAACACAAGCGTGCAATAAACCAGATACAGGGCCAACAGTGCCCCAGCAACAACATAATCCACAGCGGAAGGTAATCACACGACCCCACAAAGAATTGGGCTCCCTCCTCTCTGGTTTTTGGATGAGTAACCGAGAACCACAGCTGCCAAGTCACTGCAGCTTGGCAACTCCTTTGTTGAGTGTCTGTCCCCTGATGGTCAGTGTGTATCATAGCAACCAGTAGGACAGTAGTAGAGACACTTAGCATATTAGCTATATATATATATATATATATATATATATATATATATATATATATATATATATATATACACACACACACACACACACACACACACACACACACACACATATATATATAACACCAGTAAAGAATATAAACTGATCATGTCCTAAAGATTTTACCTTTAAGCAATGCTGAACAATTGCTTTTAAAGATCCAGTGAGTGAGTGGTGCTGAGTTGTCTGGAGTTAAATATACTCACTAGGGACTCTTAATTTTGTCCTACTTATTTACTAGGGTTTATGATGAACAAAAGTAAACTGTAAAAGAACTGCGGAAGCAATTAGCAGTTTTACAAATATAAGTAATAATTATTTTAATTGTGGATTTTATCCTTGTTAATGCCAACTGCTAAAACTTACCATCCTCAAGCTCTACACACATGCTTCATGGCTGTGTGAACTTAGACCAAGTTCAATTAGTTGAGGGTTGGGTGATTCTTCAATCTATAAATTATTAATGTTCACTTTAGCCTTCCTCTTTTATTCCCCATTTTCTGCTTATTTCACAACTCACTAATGATGAAATATCAAGTTACTTTACTTGACAAAATTTTGAACAGAAAAATCTATTAAAAATCTGTATTTTAAAAAGGAGAACTGTTTCATAGGAAATGTAAAAGAATTTAATCTGAGAACTTTTACAGTAACTAACGTTAACCTATTTATAACATACTTTCTCTTCTAATATTTAAAAATAGCCATTGTAGAGATTACCAGTATTCCAAATGGTATCTTTATCTAAATATTTCAAGCTTAAAAATCAACATTCCAAACCCACACAAGTTCAAATTATGCATTAAAGAAATAAGTACTTAGTCCCTTGCTTATAGAAGAATTCATCTGACATTCCAGGAAAATTCCCAGTATTAATTCAATATCAGTTTGCATGGGTCCAAACTAACCAGATACAAATAAAACTTCTGAGAGTCACAAAAACTGATATGTTCATCATTTAAGTACAAAATTGTCCTAAAATGTAACCAACAGAATAAATCTTATAAATTTACTAGAGGCGTGACGTACGAATTTGTGTACAGGTGGGGTCTGGCCGGCTCACCCCATGGGGATCGATCAGGGCTGGGCCAGCCAGGGAAGAAGCCGCGGGAGATTACCTGGCTGGATCTGCCCCCAATAGGGTTGGAAGGGCCGACCTGGGGGAGAGGCCGCAGGAGGTTGGGGGAAGCGATCAGGGCCCCCATTGGACAGTTGGTCACTGCAGTGTCCATCATAGTGACTGGTCATTTCAGTCATTCTGCCGTTCTTGTTGCTTGTCATATATATATCTATCTCCCAAGAAAACACATAAAATCATTCTTTTATGGTTTATGTAGAATTCAAGTTGAAGAAGGATTACAACCTATGAACCAGGAGGTCAAGCTTCAATTC